TTAATAAATTTGCAGATTAAAGGAGACAAGTGTACAGGAGATCTCCAGCGAAGTACAATTATAGCCGTTCGCCAGGATTCTACGCAGAGAGAGAAGTGTCGTCAGGTCGTGGATCATTGAAGGTGTCCGTCAAGAGCATGGAGAAGGAAGTGTCGTCTGTCGTGGATCTAATAAGGGTCAGAAGGAATTGTCCATTGTAGAATCGTCTATGTAACAGTTCTCATAATTTGCAATAAATAATAAATCTAGACGAAAAAAAAAAATTATTTATGGAAGTAAGTGCCATTAGGAGCTATAAAGGAACAAAGAGAGCATAGTTTCTGTTTAACCAATCAAAGCTTACTTATCACAAAATCATCTCACCTATTCTTCCATCCTTAAAGCTTGATCATTTATCAAAGTTATGAGGTCTGCGACATTGTTTCTGTTTTCATGTGTTATCATGTACCTTATTTTGAATTCGGTTCCAGGTAATATACCAATCTTCTTCTTTTTTAATATAGCTTTGATTGGTTACTTGCAGATTATGAGTTTGATTGCAAAAACTAGTACTACAATAAATAAAAATAAATAAAAGGGAAAAGGCTCTACATAATGGTTTAATAAATAAATTTGTTGCGTTTCCAGTTATTCTTATAAATATTACTTTTGATTGGTTTAAAATAATAGAGATGGAAGCTCATAATACCAAAATGTGCAAAATCATTGGAACTTGGGAGGTTCGATACTGCATGGGTGACGCTGAAGCTAAAAATGCTACGTGCGTGGCAGCTTTTGCGGAGACAAAAAAAGTTGTTACTAATTGCAGTTGTAGTCAAGCTAGTTACCCTGATCTTATTTGTAGGTGTCTTACTCCTTGTTAGGTTTTAAGATAACTGTATAACCAAAATATATTTACTATTCTCTTTTATACAAAAGGGGAGTGAATGTATATTTTGTGACAAAAAAAAAAAATACAATCTTATATCATTGTGAGTTTTTGTGGTATATGTTATATGTATTAAAGTTTATCAAAATACATAAAAACCTAAAGTGTGTGCCCAATCTTTGTGAAATAAAATACAGGGGTGCTTTTAGATAATGTTATTTTCTATACGAAGAAAAATAATCGATTGGGTTTATTATACAATCTTTTTAACCACAAAATTTTAATAACTCATAAAAAAATGGTGAAATATTTTTTTTATATACAATATTAAGTGACAAGCAAGATAACTAACATGAAATATATACTTTATACAGATAATTTTTTGGATTTATTATCTATTACTAAACACAATTTTTTGCAGTGAATCGGTCGTGAAAATTGCGTTTTTGAAAAATGCAAGCTGGCTAGACATAGCTGGAAAGTTTGACACACGATATTTGTCCCCGAGGACAAGGTATGAGGTGGTGTTTGTGGTGAAGTTGGAATACACATTCGGGAGACACCGGTGAAGTTAAAGCTGGACTTGCCCAATACTTGGGAGAAACCGCAAGAACAAAGTGTGGACATGTTCGATTATATAAGTAACCAATGGCTCGAAATTTCGGTTGGGGAGTTCACCACATCGATGAAAAACGTTGGGGAAATCTCTTTTGCAATGTACGAATACGAGTGCCAACTGTGGAAGTCAGGGCTCTTCGTCAAAGGTGTTACAATTCCTCCCAAATTCTAAGTTATTTATAAGCTCGGTTTCTTTGCCTTGAACCAAGTTCTTCTCTACTGCTTCGTTTCCTTGGTTAGGTTGAGCTGTTGTAGTTTCTTTGCTCTGTTCTGTTGCGGTTTTGCGAATCTTTCTGATGGTGTTGTGGCTGGTTGTGCTCGGGTTAGTCCTTGCTTTGGACTTTTTAGTCTTTTGGAGATGCTGTTGTTTACGTTTCTGCTCGGTGTTCATGGTTTTTGGCTCGACATTTGCGTCTTCTGGGTTCTTTGGGAAGGTCGTGGGAGTGCTTTATTTTAGTGGCAAAGTTGTAGTGTTAAGAGTTCCTCGATTATCTATCACTGCTATTCTCTTTCTCGTCGGAGTAGGGCTATGTTTGTTTGTCTCATCTCTTTTGGAGCTTTGATTCCCTTTTTTGGGCTTGTGGTTACGGTACTATCCCATATTTCTTAGCGGGTTTTAGTATCCGTCTTTGTACTGAACTCGGCTAAAATAAAATAAGACTATTGTGACAAAAAAAAAAAGAAGATCATTTGCATTTTTGCAAATTATATTCATCATCCAAATTTCGTTTCCTCAAAAAATAATAATTTACAAGAAAAAGAAAAAAAAAAAAGGCAATGTGATTGATTTTCTCACTCAATCGGCAACTCGCTTTACTCGGTGAAGAAAAGCCAATTTCGCCGCAAAGCTCACACCTTTGATCGGTCTTGATTCTGGGTTTCTCCTAAATCATCCAAATTGGTATCGAATTTGTCCTTCTTCTATCCAATTTCTTCACGATCTCAACCCAAAGAGTCATGCTTTCGTTATCCTCTTCTTCTTCGTCATTACTTCGTCCGAGTTCTTCTTCTGGTCCGTCCATCGTTGTACCAAGAAGGAGTTTTATATCGTTTCGTCGGAAAGTCTCTTGCTGTTGCATAGCCCCACCTCAGAACCTGGACAACGATGCCACCAAATTCGATGTAATAATCTCACAATTTGATTCTTCTAAAGTAATTTCATGGATCACTGTGGAATCTGGCCTTAATTGTTATTGGTGTTATAGTTTAGAACAAATGTTATGTAATTTTGATTGCAACTTGTTGATAATGTGATGATATCTGCAGAGTCTTACCAAGTCTGGAGGAGGTATGCGTAAACAGCGAGAGCTTGAGAATGATTCTGATGTTCTTATAGAATGTCGAGATGTCTACAAATCGTTTGGGGAAAAACATATCTTGAAAGGCGTTAGCTTTAAGGTATTTTGTTGTGTTTACAGTGACAATACATATTTCCTTTTGAGAAAGAATGCTTCTAGCTTTAGGCTTCCGTGCGGCTTGTCACCACTCTCGACTATTTTCAGCGGTTTTTTTTTGTTACTATTTTGCTCTAAGGATCACATTGACAAACCTATTGCCATAAGAGTGTACTGCTTTGGCTATTTGTAGCATGGGATTGACAAATAAGCTGTTTTATCGTGTTTTTAAACTCTTGACTCACGGACACCTTTTCAGTTCTCTTTACACCCGTGGAAGGTTTTTCATATTGTATGTCTTTTCTACTGTTAGGCCCTTAGAATTTGATGAGATACTACGAGGTTATCTCTTCCCAGACTTGTTTTGGATCTTTAGATTAGGGATAGCCTTCAGATTTTGAAAGTCACACCACATTCTAACCATTTTTTGTATGCAGATTAGACATGGCGAAGCTGTTGGGGTGATCGGTCCTTCTGGGACGGGAAAATCAACAATTTTAAAGATCATGGCTGGTCTTCTTGCTCCAGACAAGGTTTGAAACTGTTGCATGTCATGCGCTATATCTTTCCTCTATCTATCTGATCACAGCCTTCAGATTATGGATTGTCTCTTGGTATGTAGGGAGAAGTTTACATACGAGGAAAAAAACGAGCTGGTTTGATAAGTGATGAGGAAATATCAGGACTTCGTATTGGCCTGGTAAGTGCTGTTCTGAGATATAATTCTCATGAGTCGTGGATTTTTTTGTTCTGAGTTTGTATCTCAATGGCTTTTTTTATCTATCTCACAGGTATTTCAGAGTGCAGCTCTCTTTGATTCTCTATCAGTTCGTGAAAATGTTGGTTTTCTACTGTAAGATGTTATTCTTTAACTTCTTACATAACCTCATTTCTAGCCAAAAGATCGCTGATGTTCTTTTGTTTGAAGTCATATTTATTAAACTTTTCTATGGTAACTGATCACAGTTATGAAAGATCAAAAATGTCGGAGAATCAAATATCTGAGCTTGTGACACAAACCTTGGCAGCTGTTGGTTTGAAGGTATCTTAATTCAGTACACCTTTCATAACATAGGCTACTTAAGTACCTAGTCATTAGTCCACATCCAGATGATTATTGTTTTTGTTTCTAATAAGATCAGGGGGTTGAGAATCGATTACCTTCTGAGCTATCTGGTGGAATGAAGAAAAGGGTTGCTTTAGCTCGTTCACTAATTTTTGATACAACGAAGGAGGTCATAGAGCCAGAGGTAATCAATATCTACTTAAGTTCATGAATTTGTTTCTGCTTTAGAGGCTCGACTCCTGCATCCGTATAGTTGTTGACGAAACTTAAGTCATCATGTGGCAAAAATTAGGAATTCATGTATGGGTTTCACTGCCTTTTCTTAGGTGCTTTTGTACGATGAGCCAACTGCTGGACTTGATCCAATTGCATCAACTGTAGTTGAAGATCTTATACGGTCTGTTCACATGACGGACGAGGATGCAGTTGGAAAACCTGGAAAAATTGCGTCTTATCTGGTTGTTACCCATCAACATAGCACCATTCAAAGAGCTGTAGACAGGTTCGGCTTCTAGTCCATATTACAAGATTCGATTTTGCAGTTTTTGCTTCATCCCTTGAGAAGTTATTGTTTCTTCTATTCAGGTTATTGTTTCTGTACGAGGGAAAGATCGTTTGGCAAGGAATGACACATGAATTCACAACCTCAACAAATCCAATAGTTCAACAGGTCCCTTTTTCATTTATTTACATGTAATTTCAACATGGAAGTACTTGGGAGATGCAGTTTTAGTCATTCATTTTTGTTTGTATTTCTCAGTTTGCTACAGGCAGCCTCGATGGACCAATCAGATACTAGGGGACATTAACCGATATTGGGAACGCAAGCCTAGGCATGGCTGGCATACATTAAGATTCTAAACAAAGTGTTGAAAGTGATTGGTTCCGAAGATACTCGATTTCTATGAATACGAAGCTTAGTCTACTTGTAAACACTCTTTTATCTTAGATGCATAGATCAGGAAAGCATTGTAAGTTGAGATTTCAGTACGCATTAATGAGAAATTGAGAATTGGGTTTAATGTGCCAAGAACAAGACCTGCATTCTCAGACGTATTCCAACAAAACTGAAACTTTTAATTGATACTTGTGAATCTCCAAAAACGGTAGTAACAAATGTATATATACATATAGTTGAAGAAAAGAAAGATTTTTCTTTAACTACCTAACTTGAAAGCATCAACAAAGAGACCTAAGCAAACACCAGCTTTCCAAAAATTCATAAACACAACAAAAGACTGCAACTTCCCTGAAAACATTGAAGACGACGGTTTCTTATACATAAGCATACCGATTCCTTCAATCGCAGCCACGACAATTCCCGCAACAAGCACATCCCAATCACCAGTCTGTCCAAGAATGGTAGCCAATGCATTGGCGGTATAGAAACCAAGAAGCAGCAGAAATATCTTCATTGGGAAGTTTTTTCTTGCAGAGTTTATCTTCCCAAGTAACAGTTTGCCTCCTGCAACCGCAATTCGACCCAACCGAGTGCTACCGAGACCGGTTCTGTCTCCATTCATCTCTTGTCCTCCTCCACCATTATCTCCAGGAATAGAAGAACCTGTGTCTAAAGCAAACGCTATTTTCCGGTTTCGTCTTCTTAGCTGAAAACTATTGGGAAAAATGAAGAGACTAGTCAATAATTAAACCAATGATTACGCCCAAATTCAAACGCAAATGCACAAATTCAACAAGCATAACAACGATTACGCCCAAATTCAATAAGCAAACGCCAAAATTTGAACAGTAAACGGCCAAATTCAACTGCAAACGCCTACATTCAATAAGCAAACCAATGATTACACCCAAATTCAAACGCAAACGCCCAAATTCAATAGGCAAAACAACGATTACGCCGAAATTCTATAAGCAAATGCCTAAATCAAAAGTTTCAATGCTGAACTAATGATGATTATGCACAAAATGAAACGCAAACGCAAAACGGTACCTTTTCATTGGATAAGGGAATGAAGTGAGAGTAATGGACGAAGCTCTTCTTCTCCTATGGAAGACATTAATCATAAAGGAGAGACCTTTTTCAATCTCCAGAACTGGGAAAACGCGTGAAGCTTGAATTTGACAAGCCATGAGAACCAGTCTCGACTTTTCTGAGATTTAGGGTTTTTATTACGTCACAGCGATCTACTAGACCCAAAACAAAGCTTAACGGATCATATCCACAAGAAATACGAAAGAACCAGATTGGTCTAAGAGGAGAATGCAAGAAGGAGAAGCTTGGCTTGAAGGAATCAATGGAGATTGGAGAAGATGAGTGAGATTTGAGTGACGATTGAGAAACAACTAGATTTTAATCGGATGATTTAATTTTAAAATTAGTATAAAAATATTTTATAAATTGTATCTCCTTATAATATATTTATATATATTATAATTTACAATTATTATTAAATAACGGTATACTACGAGTCCACGAAATAATTATTAATAAATTGAGGATTTAACTCGAATTAAAGCGGTATATAAATATTGATTCAAATTCTTCCGCCATATAAATACTTTCCGAAATATAATCCGTTCCGTAATTTCTTAACCCGCCCCGTGATATGTTTTTTATTTTAAAATTTAATGATTATTTATTATATATAAAAATTTACAAATCATATAATTTGCTAAGACCACGGGACATTATACCACGGGACAATTTTTAGTTTTATAGAATCTTTTCTAAATGAAACTGATTTAATATGTCTAATATTTGTGGTATTAAAAAAATAAGGATTTAGTCCGTATTGAAGCGGCGGATTAATGATATTTTAATCTTTTTATTATTATTGATTCAAAAACCCGTCCCTCCAAACTCATCCGGCCAAAAAACTCATTTATTTTATTAATATTCTTATTTATGATATGATTCTGAATCGTTGTCTAAATATTTTAATCGATGTTGAACGTTGAACACACTTTTTCATCAATTGGATAATATATGTCTGGTTTTAAAATTTCGAATCAAAGTATATGCAGAAAAAAAAATTGATTTTTTTTTAGTTTATGTATTATATGATGATTCAAAACAGTTAAAAACAAATCAAACAAAGATGATAGGAGAATCATAATTATAAATCTTAATCAAATCTTCTAAATATCTAAATTATTAAATATGAAATACCCGGTGTATGAGTTGGGTTAAATATAACCCGACCCAACAAATTTTTTGTGAAAGATTTTTTGAAACGGGTCGGGTATCCGATATATCCGGAAGCATTTTTACCCACCCGTCACCAAAGTGTTGCAAAAATACTAGTATAGATGACAAAAAGTGTTGAAGCTTTTAGATTTTCATCAGTTTAAAAGACATTTTACTCCTTCAATTTTTTTTGGGTCTGAATTTCAATTTTTACAATTTTTGGGAACAATTAATCAATTAATAACCTTTTCTAATGATTTAAAAATTGAGTGAATTTGTGCAGAGGTATTATTGGGGTAGTAAATTAGGTAATAGACATTAGTGGTTCTTTGTAGGGAACAATGGTCAAATAAAATATACAATTGGGTATAGATTTCAAAATATTTACAAGAAAACCAGTTTCACTTTTGGTCTTGCGCGTGGGAGAACCGGGTTTGACTTTTAACACAAAAGTACAATTGAACTAACATATATTAAATGCTTGTCAAGTTAAACTGACCCTTATGCGGTCTACCTGTGCATGTCCAACATAAGATCTGCTTAGACATACACATTTTAATATATACGTCTACATAATTAACAACCAAAGTAAAACTAATTGAATATGTAGTTGTACATAACCAAGTATTCATGAATTTATAAATATAGTTATCTATAACAACAGTTTATAGAAATTAAAAAGGGATGTAATTGTATATCTAAACAAATGTCGCTGGACAAAAACTGAATGGACATTTATATAAACGCATAGAGGTCTAACATACTTGATCTCCTACATCTAATTCTCACACTTTATCTAATTTCAAAGAAATTAGAGGGAACACATCTTCATCGTCGGATTCTGGTTTAGTTTTATCACCAACTGCTCCGTATCACCGGCAGGTTGTTCTCTCTCGGCAAATAAACAAGAAGGAAGCTCCGTAGGAGTCATCCTGCAAGAAATTTAGATCTACGAAAGGGAGATAACAACATGCAAGTTAAAAATGGAGATCCACGGGAAATTATGAGTGTCTATATGTAGATCTAAGTAAAATAAGTAGAGATTCAAGTGGATCCGGAGAGGCCTAACAGAAAAGATAGAGTTTAAGATTGGAAAACACCAGTCGAAATTAGAGTGAAACAATTGAAACGATGGGTGGTAAGATTGGAAAAACAAAAGAAATCAGGAAACAAAACTTTGTGTAAATTCTACGCTCCGGCTTACCGAATTAGAGAAGAAGACGCTTTGAGACGGCGACTTAATAGTGACAACGACGGGAATCATGTACTTCGTTGGAGCAAAAACAAGTTTTCGATGAGAGGAAGACGAGACTAAGAGAAAGGTTTTCAGAGAAAGAAAATATGAGACAAAAATGAAGATAAATGAAGATAAGTTTGGGTCGCTCTATTCTGGCGAGTGAGGGTAAAGAAGCAGAAAATGAGGTTGAAATTATCATTGTCTTGTGATCAAAAAGATAAAACCGAAAATTTAATTAGACTTAGATCTGATACTTCTCACCCAATTATCTCTTAAAAATTTATCCAACTACATTACCGCAGAGCTATATTATTTTTGAAAAAAAGTCAAAATGTATTTTTTTTAATATATTAAATATATATATATATATATATATATGACCTACTGTTTTGAATTTTCTAAATGTATAACTCTTATATCTATATATGATTTAGTATACAGTTACTATGTTTGAGGTTTACCGTTTTAAAATATAGGAACGATAACATACAATTCATTAAATTAAATCTTGATTATATCCCGCGGTATACCGCAGATCGATTTTTTTATAACAAAAAAATTTAAATTTTAAATTATATTTTTTTGTTAATAATATTTCTTTTGTTTAGTGTTTAAGATGATATATTGTATTTTGATTGTTATATCTTGGATTTCAACCTTATTATACCATCTCGTATTAATATCGTCCCACCATCTAACCATGTCCCGTGAAATTAAGAGTTTGCTTTCAAACTGTTTCCATTTTTATATCTCAAAACCTATCTAGTATGTAACCAAGTTAAAAACAATATAATAAATTATTTGTTTATGTGATGCATATTTCTGAGGCTCACAAAGTCAAAATAAGATTTGCTTTATGCCTTGGGCGATTGAAGATAATATAGAACTTTGAAATGCCATTGAATCTCCTAATGAGCTCAAGAGAAGCAATTCTTAGGCAAAAGCTCTGTTTCAAAAAACAAAGTCGAATCAGTGCCTAATTCATATACTAGATTTTGATGTCTTAATAATATATGTGCACGTATTGTAGTCTCATACTGTAAATGCATGTTAGTTATGTTTCTAATATTATAGAAATGATTATAATGTATATATTGATTAAAATTTAAACTCACAATTCTTTTACTGGTTTTATACTACCAAATTGGCTCAGATTGGCTGACAAATAAAACAAAAATTCTAGAGGTTTTGATAATTTGTGAGAGTTTCATGAAATTTCTAAATTTATTAAAAGATATTGGATGATTCAACCAAGAAAACCCTATAAAGAGTATATTAGTGTTTGATTAAACAAAATATTAGCTTTTCTCCATAGGAGAGAGCTCGAGTGATAACAGAATCAGAGAAAAGATATTTTCTTCATTCAACTATAAAATATGTACAAGAGAAAACTTAAATACAAAGTAAACTAAACCAAAAATACTAACCAAACTAAACCATAACTAAACCAGCTATATACACTCTAATACAAAAGCATGTAAACAAGAAGTATAAATTAGTATATATTTTTAACTTTTTATCAATTAATATTTTTTTATCAAAAATATAAAAAAAAAGATTATTTGTCCGAGTCAAGGTGCGAATTAGTATTACAGATCGTCTGAGATTTTTTAGACGAGTTAGATTTGAATCCAGGGAGAGGGAGCCATGAACCATGATATGTATTAACTGTTGCCGCATATTTCATCATGCTAAGCATTGTCTCTGATGTTTTGGTGGTGCCTATTTGGGAAGAAAGAACATGTTCAAACAACCTCAATCATCACCCTCTAGAGAATAGTTCATATATCTCCTTTTATTCGCCAATATCTCACCCCACCTCCCGCTTCACCTGCTTTACATGGCAATGAGTTTGATGTGGGTCCTCCATCAACTAGGTTTGCTTTCTCACGATCCACCACATCTAACCAAACCTCTTCAAGATCTTCTTCTGTTAGGGATAAAATAAGGTATGAGATAGAAGAGAGTTCTAAACGCAAAAAGGCAAACAAATTGATCTAAACTCGGAGAAAAACACTAGGAGGTGTCGTAAAAATCACGGGCTCCGGTTTCATCCGGTGGATGGACAACCTCCATAGGTCTGCTGAAGAATACTATAGACCTCTGAGTATAATTTACCCTTATACTCTTGAGGGTGACACTTTTTGGGATAAGCTTTGCTTTAAGTTTTCTAGAAAATAATTAATCACTTTCAGGTCAAGTAAGTGATGATGATGGATCACTTTTTGAATGCCTTAATGGCTTTAACTGGTTTATAACTCTGCGTCGGGAAGGTTTAGCTTTAGTTTGAAAGACCTTCAATGACTTTTTGGTAACGGTCTACTACTAGTCTAGTATCTGGTGTTAAGATGGTGAGCAGCAGGGCCGGTCCTATGTTTTAGGTGGCCTAAAGCATTTTCATTGCTTTTTATATAAATATTAACAATAAAAAATTTATATTAGAATATTAGAAAAGTACTAAAAGTTATTAAATATTTTTAATAAAGTGTAAAACATTCTACTATTTATAAATTTAACTTTCTAAATTATTCGCAGCAAATTTATTGATTTGTCGAGGATTTTTTATAATAAAAAATAAATTTCTTGTTTATAAAAACTGATAAAAACCAAATATTAAAGGTTTTTTTTGCAAAAAAGAAATCAAATCATATATATGAAAGTTGGCTAACTCTCTCCGTATGAATGTCACATCATCACACAAGAAAATGACATGTGTCATTTAACATTATTTTTTAAAAAATAATTAGCAAAATAAAATGAGAAAAAAATAAAAGTTGGTCATTAGCATCAAATATTCCATCAATCCTACTCTTAACTGATTTTTTTTTTAAATAAAAAAGTACAAAATTATGTTAATAAATCGAGCACCACTTTCATTTTATTCTTCTTATTTTACAAAAAAAATTATCAATAGTAAAAAAAAACATTTTTGTTGTAGTTTAGTTGTTTGTTACCTAATCTATTATTAGTTAAGTAATATTACATTGAGTATTTTTTCACTATTACGTTTTGTGGTTCATATACAACTTATAATATGATATTTTTTCTTTTTAGTTTTGTGTCTTATGGTAAGTTAGTAACATTGAAATGAAAGTTTTTTCAAATAATGGACTTTTAAGACGTTAAACATACCTAGAAATTCAAGACAAGACTATTTCTCGTATATGGCTATACACAATGGGAGAAGATCTAAAAATATTGACTTAAATTACTTTTTTTTTGTTTGGTTTGAAAAAGATTTACTTATGATGAGCAACATGGTCGATCCAATAACCTTGTGCATTTGCAAGAGAGGGAGTAAGGGTGTGTAACCAATAGATTTAAACGACTCATAATTTTTGCTTTCTTTTTCTTCTTTTCATATGAAGACTCCTGAGATCTTCTTCGAATTATGTCAATCTAATATTTAATCATGAGCCTATACTAGATCAGTAGAGTACATAGAACAACGAAATGTTTATTTATAATCAAGTTAGACAAGTTTCAAACCACAAAAGTAACATAACTACATATCATTGTATCAAAATATCTTATATTGTTGTTGTATGTATTCATGGTAATAAAAAATATTAGGATTTTAAATATATAAATACTTAATCCAGGGGAAAAATAATAATAATAATAATTAGTTTATATATGAAAATGTATAAATTGTTATTTTGAGTCAAAAAGAATATTACCATAAAAATTGTAACTATATAAAATGGATCTAATTTTATTAACTACACAGTAACAAACAAAAATAAACATAAATTAGCAACAAGAACATTCAACATAATTTTTTTTAACAATTTTCAAAACAAACCCACGCTATGCGTGGGTATGCATCTAGTTACTAAATAATAAGTGAAGTGAACAGGAGGAAGAAGAAAAAAAAAAGTGCCTATGGGAGGGATAAAAAAGAAAGTGCCTATGGGAGAGAAAAAAAAGAAAGGTCATAAAAAGCTAGATTGTAGGATTCGAACCCGGGAAATTTGACACACTCTAGGAATACTAACCCAGCAAACCACAAAGATAATTTTGAATATGTGGCCTTTAAATTAGTTTTCTTGTTTGTGGCCTAAAGCAACTGCTTCATTTGCTTTATGGACGGACCGGGCCTGGTGAGCAGGATGCACTCATAATGCAAGTATATGTTGGAAACAATAAGATCAACAGTAAACTTTTTACTTTATATGTTTGATCTTATTGAGATTGTTATGATGTTGCTGTAAAAATTTCTCTATACTAATAGACAGTTGTATTTTTCTGTTTGGCTTGTAAATTAACTGTTGTATCTTGTACTTGCTTATCCAATTTAATTGGGTTCTCGAATGATGGATGATACGGTTTATTTGTTATATACACAAAATATGTTTCGAAAAAAAATAAAAAGATTGTTTGTTAAAGAAAAAAAAATGTAGAGCGTCATTGGATCAATGGAGATTCTCTCTCTTATCTCTCTCAAACTTTTTAGAGAGAGAATGACTTAGAAGCAAAAAATTCGGCAACGGTTCGTCTTTGTGACGGCGTTTTGCTGGCTTCCGTTTCCAACATCATCTGATTTCCTTAACAGTAGTGTTTGGCTTGCCGTCCGGTGTGGTATCCGACTTTTGTCCGACATATATTGGCTATCACAGCAGTACATGTTCGGCTCTTGTCTAGCATCACCAACTCTCTTAGCGGTGATGGCTAGCTAGCTTACGGTTTTAACCCAGCGTAGTCTGGTTTTCTCCTTTTTTCTGTTTCTGCTTTGTCTCTTCTCCGGCGTGTCCGTATTTATTTTCTTTTTGGTTTATATCACGGTTTCTTTTAAACCGTTGGTTGCTTGTAGGTAAAAACTCAATAGGATTTGTGTGTTGGTGGTGGCGTTTGTGGCGGTTCTCTGCTCAAAATGGTCTAAAAATGTAATATTCCGGTTTCAGGAATATGGTGGTGCATGCGGAGAGGTTTAAAAGAATTGATTTGCCCCTATGTCATCAAAGTGCACTTATCTTTTTGGTCAAACGTCCTGAGAGAACTCCACAGTTAACCGTGCTTGGGCTGGAGTAGTTTCAGGATGGGTAACCTTCCGGAAAGTGATTGTCGGAACTATGTGAGTGAGGACAAAACACAGGGAAAGATCATGTGGTGATTTGTAGGGTCGGTAAACAAGTCTTTAAAGCCTCCCAGATGTAGCGG